GAAATTTTTCTTTTTAAATTTTTATTATTTTTATAAAATATAAATGACAATAAACTTACAAGTTTTAGTAAACTCATGACAATAATATAAATTCGTATTGCAAATTTGTAAGAGTTTACCTTTATTAACAAATAGCCATTAAAATATGATCATAATTTAATTTAAATATATTAAAAATATAAATAATTAAAATTAAACCCATCTACGTTGATAAATTATCATATACAAGAAAAAAATTGTAAAATAAGGAAACTTATTTTTGATATTTTTCTTTTTTATTAATATTAGTTGTTGTATTTGAAATTTTTTTCTTTGAACTAGATCCTATAACTTTTATAAATAAAATTCTTCATAATAAATACTTAACTGTCTCAACTAAAAAAGATGACAAGATTTATAAGTTTAACCAAGCTTACTTCTAGTTCGAATTTATGAGTTAGTTGACATAATTTTATAAATTAGAAATATAAAAAGGTAAACTTGAAGATAAACTCATAAGTTTAATTAAGTTTATATTTAATCTGAATTTATGAGTAAGTTGACACGATTTTATAAGTTAAAAAGTAAAAATTTTAAACTCAAAGAGTCAATTCAAGAGTTTAACAACTATGCTTTAGAGTATGTAAAACATTTTGTCCAAAATGGGTTAAATATTAATCTAAGTTGCCGTTTTTTATTTTATTGCTTAATTTCCATGCCACATGAACCACGAAACTTAGTATGTTTAAAAACAAAGAAGCATCAAGCACGAAATATAATCAACATTATACTTGTAGAAAATAACAAGTGACAAGTGATTTTACGTACGAACTACAAAGCGAATCTAATGAAAAGAATCTACTCTCATAAACAACTCCTAGTGTTCCCTAGAAGACAAAAAATTAGTTGTTCAAAACATTATTCTAAAAAAATATATCATTCAAGACAATAATGCTCTTTTTTTTTTTTGAGAAAAAAATTAGCATAGGCTTTAGTTCCTACATTGATGACGCGAGTTTTCTTCAAGTCCACAACGCAAAGGTTTTTCGTGAATGGAAAATATTATAGAAATTACCTAATTAAAAAATAAGAAAATAATTGAAAAAATTAATCTCAAGTCCCACTCAAATAATCTAAATACATGAAAGTCCCATGAAATTACAAAATCTCCTTTCTTTATAATTTGCTTCAGAACTACAGTGTCATCCGATGCAATTATTTTTTTACTTTTTTATAAATTAAAATTGCTTATAAAAATTTAATTTTTGATAACATAAATTAAAATTAAAATTATATTTTATGTTATGGTTTTTAAAAAATTAAACTTTACTCCTCCATTTAAAAATGTAGGGCATTTTTTAAAAAGTTAGATGTTAAAAAAATGTAAGGTCTTTTTAGTTTTTTAAAGTATAATTCATGTGTTTTGTCAAAAGTATCCATAATAAACAAAGTATTTTATGTTTATTTTAAAATAAAATACCCTATTAAATATTCTCTCTTGTCCTATTTATAGGGCAAAGAAAAAAATGTTATATCCTATTTATAAGTCACCTCATTAAATTTTCATCATAAATTTTTTTCATTTAACCTTTATTGAATGTAGGAAAGGGAAAATATATTATAAATTTCTCAGCAAAGTTAATAAGTTTTAAAGTTTTTTTTTGTTCTGGTTAAATATGTTGAAAGTGTCTTATACAGAGTTAATAAATTTTAAGATTTTTCTTAATTTTAGTAAAATATATTGGGAGTATCTTATAAATAAGACCAGAGGAATAAGGGTAAATATGAAAAGAGGTGTTAGCTTGAATTGACTACTTTATTTGGGTCAAGATTCAATTGAAAATATCTTACATTTTTTAAAATAAATTGTGTGAAAATAAAATGAATTATTATTTATATTTGTATATTCTAATGGATATAAAAAAAACTTCTTATATTGTACTAGGAATAAAAAAAATATAATTAATAGAAGTTGCTAAAGAAATTAAAAAATATAGTTATGTTTACTTTTCCTTTCTTAAAGAAATTAAAAAAAATTATTTTACTCTTCTTTCCTCTATTTTTTTAAACAATGTGGATCAATGTTCCCGTGCATCATGTACAGGGTCTAAAATCTAGTTATTCTGAAATTACGTGTCTTTTTATCGTTGTTGTCAATTTATTATAAAAAAACTTATATACCTAAGCTTATATTTATTAATATGCTTATTTTTAATTAAATCAAAAACACATATGTCATTTATAAATTATTTATTCTATAATAACTTGTTATTAGTATTATTAATGCATTAAATTTCACTTATTTTGATTTGATTGAATAAAAATACATTAAATATATAGATTTAAGTATATAAGTATTGCCCTTTATTATATTGAATTGAAGTTGTCAATATAAGATTTAAATCCTCTTGAAGTTGATATCTTTGAATTTTTGTGAAGTTTTCCTTTTCTGCTACTTCTATTTTATTATTTTTATAAAGTTTTAAATCTTCCCTTGCTTCTTTAAAAAGGTAAATTTCACATAAATTCACATATCTCAACTTTGAAAATTTTGGATCTGTCAATATATTGTTAGATATTTGTTGGTGGAATTCAGATATTCTAACAATATATTGACGGATTATCTAATAGTAATTGTCAATTGACAACAATTGTTAGATATTGTAATAATAAACAATTATCTAATAGTAATTGACAACTTCAATTAAAAAATCATGAGTTTAGACTAATTTTGCGGTTTTATGAAACTTTTTTATATTTAGATTATTTCTGGGAAGATGAGATTAATTTTCCAAAAATAAGTTAGATGTTAGAGTACGTAAAATATTTTATTCGAAGTGGGTTAACTATTAATCGAAATTCCCGCTGTCTTTATTATTGCTTAATTTATTCCTTGTAACATGACCAAAACAATTCATATGAGCAAGGCTGTTAAACTCGCGGGTTTAAATAAACTCGTGATAGGAATATAAACTTATATCATAAACTCAAATTATAAACTCATAAAAGTTTACCTCTATTAATAAATAACCATTAAATTATTACTGTAATTTAATTTAAATATATTAAAAATATAAATAATTAAAATTAAACCTATCTACATTGATAAATTATCATATACAAGACATAAAAATTTTAAAATAAGGGAGCTTATTTTTATTTTTTTCTCTTTTATTAATATTAGTTTTTGCATTTCAAGTTCTTTTTCTCTGAACTAAGTCCTATAGCTTTTATGAACTAAATTCTTCATAATATGTATTTAACTCTCTCAACTCAAAAAAAAATTAATAAACTTAACAAGTTTAATCAAGTTTGCATTTAGTTCGAGTTTATAAATTAGTTAACACGATTTTAAAAGTTAGAAATATAAAAATGATAAACTTAGAGGTAAACTCGCAAGCTTGACTAAGTTTGTATCTAGTTCGAGCTTATGAGTGAGTTGACATGATTTTAGAAGCTAGAGACGTAAAAATATTAAATTTGTAGAGTCAACTTGAAAGTTTAACAACTATGCATATGAGAGCATGAAAATCAGTATGCTATTTAAAAATTAAGGAGCATCAAACACGAAATATAGCCAACGTTATACTTTAAGAAAATGACGGACAACAAGTGATTTTATATAAGAAGCAAACCTAATTCGAAAGAATCTACTCCCATAAACTACTCCTAGTGTTTCCTAAATTATAAAAAAGTAGCTGTTCGAAACATTATTTTAAAAAGATATCATTCAAGACAATAATGCTCATTGGCCTGAAAAAAAAAATACATAGAATAATTCTCCATTTTTCTCTTGCAATTACCGTAGGCTTTGGTTCCTGCATTAACGTGTTCTTATCTTCAATTCCATAACGCCAAGGTTGCTAGTGAATGGAAAATATTATAGACATTAAGCAAATAAGAATATATTTTGGATAAAATCACTCTCAAATCACAAACAATCTAAATACATAAAAATTCCATGAAATTATATAATTACTATGAAATTTTATTATATCTTTTATTAAAATTGTCAATTACTATTGCATAGTTATTAATGGAGTTGTTTATCGCTTGATAACTAGCTAGGTAGCAATAATTAATAACTACCATCTACGATAATTGACGACTTAAATAAATAGCATATGAAACTTTAGAGTAATTTGTAATTTCATGAAACTTTTCTATATTGAAACTACTTGTGTGAAATGTAAAAACAGGTTTTTCTAAATTATATTTAGACGTTAGATTACGTAAAATATTTTGTTCAAACTGGGTTAAATATTAATCGAAGTTTCCGCTATCTTTATTATTGCTTGATTTCCTTGTAACATCGTCCGTGTTGACTACTGGGGACTCAACAAGGTGTGATCATCATTGTAACCTTTGTGTAGGCTCGGAATACAACTAGTGATGAGCCAAGGCAAGCCAAAATTATTAGAGGAAGTATATTTTAATTAATTAGCATGCTAATTAATTAAAAGAGGATCATCATACAATGTTATAATGAATGATACTACTCCATTTTTAAATATAAGAGAAAAATAACCAACTTCCATTTTCATTCTTTGCTTTCCGCTCCTTACATGCCCTTGGCTGGATTGAAGATTTAAATCAAATCGTTAAAATGTTAACTTGAAATAAAAGTAAGTTATATTTTCTGCGAAATTCAACTAATTAAAATAAAATTTTGCGTATTTTTTCTGAACAATATACAAGTGTGTGTGTGTGTGTGTTTGTATCACTTTCATTCCCTCCGTGGCTCTGTGGAATGAATAAGAGAGAATATACTCTTTATTTAAATATCAATTGGCATTCCTTGAACCCTTCCACGCGGCCAAAGCAACAAAATATTTGGTTGGTCAAGTTAAATTGCTTTGTCATGTACAAACCAGAGTTCCAATATCAGGTGATATGCCTCCTTGTAATGAAGATAATTAAACATTATTTTCCAAAGAATACTAAAGAGGACATGTTCTATATAAATATCACTCACTGGGGGTCGATCCCTTCTCATCAAACCATATCGATCTTGACTGATCATGGATTCCTCCTTCCCCTCTTATGTTACGGATATTTTACTGCCATGCCTGCTAATATTTGCAATCATGCTCCCCAAAGGCATGTGTGCTTTGAGAGTGCATTGTAATGAAAAAGACCACAACCTTCTCTTAAACTTCAAACACACTGTTACTGATCGATCTCACATCCTCTCTAGTTGGTCTCACGAGCAACATTGCTGCGAATGGGTTGGAGTTCAATGTGACAACATCACTGGTAGAGTCACAGAGCTTAGTCTCCCTTGTTCTCCTGAACTCTCTGCTAATACTTGTGAGTATGACAAAGTAAACTGTCTGGCAGGTGAACTTCACTTATCTTCGCTTCAACTTGAATTTCTGAATTACTTGGATTTGAGAAATCATGACTTCCAAGCTGTCACCCTCAATGATTGTCCTCATTCATGTGAAAATATTAATTCTTCCAATCTTCTTTATCTTGATTTATCATATAATGAGGATCTCCATTTTGATCATCTTCATTGGCTTTCTATTTTTCCCTCCTTGGAACGTGTTAACCTTAGTGGCATTAATCTTCAAGGAAAAGTTGACTGGATTCAACTACCAACTCTGCTTCCTTCAATCAAAGAGTTACGCTTTGATAGCTGTCAACTTAGAAACATCAATCCATTTCTCCAGTATGTCAATCTTACTTCACTTGAATTCATTGGCCTTTCTGATAACAGCTTTAGCTCTCTCTTGCCTGTTTGGTTATTCAATCTTAGTGATCTCACTTTTATTGACTTGAGCTATAATAATTTTCAAGATCAGTTCCCAAAGGGGTTACTAAACCTTCAAAAATTACAAACCTTGTATTTAAAGCACAACAAACTTGTCGGATCCATTCCAGTTTGGTTAGGCCAACTTGAACATCTACAAGAAGTTGATGTTACTGAAAATTTATTTTCTGGTCCTATCCCCTCAACTTTGGGAAATTTAACATCCTTGACTCACCTCCGTGTCTCCTCAAATCATTTAGGGGGTAGTCTTCCAGAAAGTCTTGGGCAACTATTGAACTTGGGCGTATTAGAATTTGATGATAATCACTTAACAGGCCATGTGTGTGAAAGAAATTTTGCCAATCTCTCAAAGCTGACTGTTCTATCCGTGGGATCTCCAGGCTTGATCTTTGAATTTGACTCTCTTTGGATTCCTCCTTTTCAACTTGAACAAGTTGGTTTGTCATACGTGGTGGGTCCTAACCTTCCTACATGGCTATATACCCAAACATCTCTTGCGTTATTACAAATTACTTACTCAAGCTTTTCATTGGAATCCCAAGACAAATTTTGGGACCTTGTGGCCCAAGTGCCACGCTTGTACTTAACGTACAACACAATTGTTGCGGACATCTCTAATGTGTTACTGAACTCTACAGACGTAAGGTTATATTCAAATCAAATCCGAGGAACCCTCCCTCGATTGTCACCGAATGTTGTCTGGTTCAATGCCAAAAACAACTCTTTCCATGGATCCCTTTCTCCATTATTATGTCAAAACATGAATGAAAGAAGCCAGTTAATATATTTGGTCTTGTCTGATAATTTTTTGTCAGGTGAGCTAACAGATTGTTGGACGAATTGGAAATCGTTAGCTATTATTAGTCTCAGCAACAATAATCTAGCAGGAACAATCCCCAGATCATTGAGCTTTTTGTCAAATTTTACAGTTTTGCATCTCAACAAAAATAACTTACTTGGGGAGTTACCTTTATCATTGAAAAATTGCCAGAACCTGCAAGACCTTGATGTTGGAGAAAATAAACTATCAGGGTACATACCATATTGGATAGGACATAATGCAAGGGTTCTCCGATTAAGATCCAATCAATTTAGTGGAACTATTCCCCCACAAATTTGCCAATTAACTACACTCATAGTATTGGATTTTGCGGAGAACAACATATTTGGTTCAATACCGCCTTGCCTACATAATATGAAAGCCATGGCATTCCCTCGTTCTTCAGAGCTTTCTAGCATTTGCATCACAAGTCAAGGCGTTGTTTACAAAATCATTGTCAGTGCTATGTTGCATATAAAAGGCCAAGAATGGTTCTATGAAGGAAACTTGAGATTCATGCGTAGTATTGATCTATCCAGTAACAACTTATCTGGAATGATACCTCCAGATCTATACAGCCTCTTTGAATTGCTTTCTTTGAAATTGTCTCATAATCGATTTGAAGGGAACATACCAAAAGAGATTGGCAACTTGAAACAGTTGGAGTCTCTTGATCTTGCAAACAATCTACTTTCAGGTGAAATTCCTCAAAGTATAGCTCAATTGTCTTTCTTGGAAGTTTTGGACCTTTCTTTCAATAATTTCTCAGGAAAGATCCCATTAGGGACCCAACTTCAAGGGTTTGCTGCACAAAGTTATATTGGAAATCCAGAACTATGCGGAGTTCCACTGCCAAAGAATTGTGCAGATCAAAATGACATGAAACCTGTTGAAGAAAATGACAATCAAGAAAATGAATTTCTGCTTTCATTCTACATGGGGCTGGGAGTGGGATTTGCCATAGCTTTTTGGGGAGTCTGTGGTGCCATTTTTTTCAATAGGAATTTCAGGTGTTCTTACTTCAGATTCCTCTATCACATCAGAGACAAGCTTTACGTGTTGATGGTCCTCAAGATGAATCGTTTCCGTTGAAAGTCTTGTTGGCATTTTGGTGAGTGAACAAAAACTACTCATTTATGTTTTAACTAAGCTTTTTTTTAGAAGAAAAATATAATGTTGATTGTTTTAATTTTTTTCCCATAAATATTTACATTATAAAATAACTATGTTAAGAAGACATGCTCTAGATCCTGTACATATAATATTTTGGCGTTTTAGTGCCCTTGAAATTAATTATTTGTAATGTGTATATATATAATGCAGCAGGTTATTGTTATGCATATTTTAATAGAAATAATAAAGTTAAGTTTAAAAACTAATACTCCTTTCATACATTAAAAAATGGAAGACAATTGAATTTTTTATTAGAAAGTGAAATTCAATTAAAAATGTCTTACATTTTTTAATGAAAAGAGTATATAATAAAGAGAAAGGATTTATAAATTTAAATTTTAAAGTTTTCGGTTGAGACGTGGTATACTTCTAGTATTCTTTTTCCTTCCTCATTTCTAGGTAGTTATCCTTAACAAGTGATATTGAAGTTTGGTTTTGTCCATTTCTAAATTAAAATTAGCTTAAACTATATCATGTCGAGACGTGATTGGCCTTGTACCAAAAAAAAACAAGAAAGAAAGACATTGCACTTTTTATTTGTGTCACATCACAATCATGCATTATATATAAAAAAAAGAAATAATCATTCTTATATGACAAATCAATTAATGATGAAGATAATTTACATTAAAGTTATTACAAATTAATTTATAAAAAACTTTAATTTATTATCATATTATAATGCATGCATGTATGTTTGTCATGCAGATTTGACATCGCCATGATTGTTAACACAATGGGAGCTTTGAACGTCTTAAACTTCACAAAGAGGTGTCGAAACATGTAACTTCTTCTCCACGTATCAACCGGTAAGCATGCTAATTTAATTAATATCAGCTAGCTAGAGTCATGTGGCTATTTATTTATTTAAAAAAAAGGTCTGAGGGGCTATTCAATTTTGAGCAGGATTAAAAAACTTAATCATATTAAGTTTATAAAAAAGTCAATCATATTACTATTTAATTTATTAAGAAAAAATATGATTAAGTTAACATTACGGTTTTTAATTAGAATAAATTAAACAAATATTCTCTATGTTGGTGAAAAAGAAACAAATATTCTCTATATTTTAGTATATTTACATGCTATCTTCATGGCCTAGCCAATCTAAAACCTCGAATGTAAACATAGGCGTAGACATAATTAAGCCAAACTTAATTTAGCTTCAAGTGACTGAAAAGGCTATGCCCGTGAATTAGTTGAAGTGGTGGTTGAAATTAAAGGTTCAGTAGTCTAATTGTGACCAAACCAGGATTAATGTGATGACTCTCTATATTTTTATATATTTTGAAGAGTTTTATTGATCTTTTAAAAAGTCATCTAGTTATTTTTGTTTATTTATCTTGTGTTTAGTATTTATTTTAGTATTAGTTAGCTTGTCTTGTAAATATTATATTTTGATTTTGTTTTATAGTATTTTCTTTTGTTAATTTGAGTCATTTTGAATTTTAGGAAACTCTACAAGAGCTTGGAAGAGGCGAAGAAGAAAGATATAATGAATTCAATAAAGAAATTAAATTGTTATGATTACCTACTACAACAGCCGCCACAGTAGGTCAGTATTAGAAGGCAAATTTTAAACCAGAAATAGAGCGTGCTACAGCGGGTTTCATACCAGGAACGCACAGCATCAACTTTTTTGTTTGATAAAAGAGGAAAACTAGGGTTTTTTGAAGGAGGCTTCATTTTTTACATTCTCTTAAGGTCCAGAGGTGATTTTGGAGAGCTTGGGGTGATTTTGAAGCTTGGGAGCAATATAACTTATCACCATTCACATTTCCATTGAGTTTTTCTTTACTTTTCTCCTTCTTTCTCCTATGCATCTGATTTAGTCCCATTATTCTGCTGTTTTAAGATTGTATTTTGCTATTTGTGGCTGAACCTTGATTCTCTAAAGTCCTATGAACTCATTTGCTCCGGTTGTATCTTGATTTACCAATTACTTTGTGATTAATAGATGTTTTATATTTTAATTCCAATTATATTTGTGTTGTTTGATGATTGGCCACCATTAAGTGATAATTTGGAGGAATAGAATGAACTTGGGAAAGGAATTTCTATTTGGATAATTGGAATTGAATGCTTAAGATTAACTATGGTTAATTTGCCTCTAGGACAAGAATATACCTAAAAGACCTAAATGGTTAGAAGGGATTTGAACTTAATGCTCTGTATCTAATTTTGGCAAGAAATTGTTGAATTAGAATTAAGTAGGGTTTTGGGTAATCGAAAGATATTCAAGATTAATTCCAGTGTCCCAACCTTTAAAACTAAAATTAAAATCAATTTAATCGGCAAGTTGAGTGCAATAGAGCAAATGAGGGATTAGAACTCTAGGGTGCTCTCTTAATCATTTCTTGACTTTAGAGTGCTTCAAAATCTTAGTTGCCTACCTTATATTTTTTATTTTTAATTTGAATCATTCACCATTATAAGTTGCTTGTTTGATTTAAATGAAATTGAGAATTTAATACCTTTTTGCTAATTTACTTAATTCTCTATGGGATCGACCTTGATACATTACTATATTGCATATTGACCCATATACTTGTGGTGTTCATTTAGTTTTGGTGTGCATCATAATGACTAATCTATCATGATTACATAATATTATATAATTACAACATGTAACAAATATTCATACATAACTATAAAAAGAGTAATATTTAAATAAAAATGCATTAATTCACAAAACAAAGTGAACATTTATATATAAACCACACATAACTCAGCAAAACAGAAAAAAGCACAAATTTGACTGCTATTTTTTGCATTTTTTAAAACTCAAACCAATGTCTTTTCAGGCTCAGCAAAGAGAAATAAAATAAAATAAAATTGAAAATCTAGAAATTATAATTATTGGAATTGATATTTGTAACTTTTTTCAGTAATTTTATCGGGACCTAACTATTATTAATGTTATCTTTTAAGACTTAAATTATCAGTCTCCCCCTTTTTTTTCCATAGATGAGTTGGAATTGATATTTTTAACTTTTTTCAAAAAATTTGTTGGGACCTAACTATTATTAATTTTGTATTTTAAGACTTAAATTGTCATTCTTCCCTCATTTTTTTCCATATAATTTATTTCAAGCTTCAGAATATTTATGGGTGAAGCAATTAATGGGGGGAAATAATTTTTATAAGAGTTTGAATTGAATTAATTCATTTGAAAAAATCTGGTTTGGATTGGGCATAGGCGTTTTGAATACATCAAGGTAATTTAATTAAAAGTGTGCGTAGAAGTTTCCCCTAACAAAAATTTTAAATCGCAACAACTTAAATTTATAAATGAAACCCTTCAAAGTTCAAATTAATCAAAATGATATATTACAAAGTGGGACCAGTTACGAATGATGAGAGATTGCTAAAGAAGTTTTTTGTTCAGTAATTAATTAGTTTCAAATGATGAAAGGTTTTCCATAGGATTCTTCTCTTCTTAGATTTCTCAACAGTATTGCCATCGCCAACTTCTGAAAGCATGCATAATAACTTGCTATTTTAATTAATTTTCATGCATGATCCAAAGATTGCAATTAAGCAAAAGATCAACATGTCTATTCGTTTGGCATTAGTTCAGTCTCAAACAGAATATTTTTTTTTGAATTCACGGATCATAGTCGGAGAGATAGAATTCCAATCATCAGTCCTATTTCAAGCCATAAACATGCAAGTAATCAAAGAATTTTTTACTAATTTAAAATGTTCCTTTTAAGCGTAAATTCAATTTAAATTAAAAATATTTGTTTCTTTCCCTTCCAAAAATCCGGCATACTCAATGCTCTCACAAAGAAAGAATGGGTTTGTTCTACATTCATCTTTTCTTTGGTCATTGTTTTCACAAATATTTATAAATTTGTCTTTTTCCTTAAAAAATTCCACATATATTGAAAAGCCTCCCAAAGAATGAATAAGATGGCAGGGAACTAAATTCGAATTTTATATTTTCTTTTGTCTTAATGACCTTTTCGATTGAATTATTATACACAAATGCCTATTCTAAACATCACTTCATATGAGTTGTAATAACTTAGGAATTTTAAGTAAAATATATATATATATATATATATATATTATTGTGTTTTCATTGTATTTATATTAATTTTGGGACAATTATGATAAGAGAGAGTGTTAGTATAGTAGAAGTGTGCACATAATTTATCCATCCGGAGTTCGAATCTGTTGAAGCATACACGGAGTTTTTTGAATTATTTTCAGCCTCTGAAATTACCAAAATGCCATCGTCCTATCAGATTTAATTTTCTCTTCTTCCTCTTTGTTTAATCGCGTTTGTGCATCATAGAGAGAGGGAGAGAAAAATCTGGAACCTTGTGTGCAATCTCCGTTTCTTTTGCCATCTCTGACCTCTGATCTTTCTTCTTCATTCCTTGCTGTCGCTGACTAGGGAGACGAGTTGCTGTGAGGTCATCGTCACTGGTCTGCCATGCTCACAGCTCTTTTCTGCTCTGTTCTCATCACTGAATATTTTCTTCCTCCATTCTTTCTGTTCGTGAGTGATGGGCCAGTGAAGAGTTGGTTTGATGTTGTAGGAGGACTGATTTATGAGTTGAGGCTGGTTTAATGCTGTTTTCTCCTTCCCCTGTTCGGTTGAAGGTTCTGTTCTGTGTGTGTTTCGTCAGATACTTGAGGTGAGAAGCTTCGATTTCTTTCCCGTTCCTATGTGCATGTGATTCTAGGTTGAAATGGTGAAATACTGTGAATTATCCTTCTTTTTTCTGCTACCCGTGAATGTTATAGAGTTGGGAATTTGATTTTCTTTGGGTATAAAAAAAATTTATTTATTTGTATTGAAGAATTGAAATTTGAAAGGTTGGATTATTTCAAATATGGATATTAGTAAAATTGGGGAATGAAATTTGAAGAAAGGAAGCTTGGTAACAGTCAAAAAATTCATGCCT